TGACATTAAAATTAATAGAGCGCTGTAAAGTTATATGTTATGAATAGTTTTATAAATATGAAAGAATGTTCTTCAAATAATATGGGAAATTTGATTCAATAACCAAAAAACGTTGATTCACATCGATAGCTCCAATTTCGCTATGTAATTCTGGCTTGATGAGCAATGAAGAAATGCATGCATAAAATCGAGAACATGCCTACACAACCCTCTACAATTATACCTGTCCTTGACAGATGAGCCAATCTGCTTTTTTTCCAGTAAAACCTTCTGTGTAGTTATATGCTGAATAACAGTGTAAGGGACTGGAAATGGGCAAAGCCGGAAAGGGTGGTAAAGCCCGGAGAAATGCCTTTTGATACCACTGATCCATAATACCAGATACTGCTATTGTTCTGACTAGTTCCTCATGAGCTGATTGGTCCTTCCTTCTTCCCCTGCTCGTTCATATTTACCTCCATTGTCCACCATTTTTCCGAAATAAGGAGCCTTGTCCTTGGCTAAAGATACTGGAAATTCACTAATTTCAGCCGACTTCCGATAACTCGAACTCTGGCTAACTTGATCCTCGCATTAACTCAAACCAAGATCGATTTCCCCTGGATTTTCTTCATACATTTACTGTAATTTTACCCTCAGTAACTCGAGCCCTCGATGATTTGAACCTCCTGCTAACTTGAGGTAACTTTTGTTTCCCTTCAGATCATTTCTATACAATTCTTGAACCATGTTTTAAGTGCCTGACGAGTAAAAAAAAAGCAGTGTAGTGCAGTCTGAAACATTGACTTTATTTCAAAGACAACAATGTATTCTTTGTCTTTACTTTTTTATCAATTCAGTCCAAATACAGTTTCCAGCCCTGTATATTAACCAAGCTCTGTTGCCTAATTCCTTTTTTCAAAATATTAATATATCTCTAAATGCCTATGAAATGAAGTGTGAATCCGTTCCCGCTCATTTACTGAATTCCTTATTTCTGGTTATTTACCTCGAACTCCTGATAACTCAAACTGTTGATAACTCAATTTTTTTTTTATTTCCTTATAAGGTTTGAGTTATCAGGAGTCGTAAGTAACTAACTAAATCACATCCCAACTAACTAAGTAACTAACTACCCAAAACATTTCAAAGCTGTTCAAAAAAAATAAATATGCAACAGTCAGAAACTGCCCCTGAGGGTCAACTCACTGGGAACCCATGAGGATCCAAGGGCAACTGTGAAACTTTTCTGTGTGTCTTGGTTGAGGGAGTGGAGGAAACACTTTTTTGGGTTTCCACACCAAGAGGAAAGACCCTTGGAATAAGCACTACATTAGATCTTGGCCTTCACAAACTCTTGTTGTCCTTTGTTAATTACATTATAGTAGTTCACTGCATAACCTAGCTGTCAAATGGTTCCAAAGAAGTGAGAATTTTGCATCATTTCTCTCCCTATACCCACAAGTATCATTATAGTATTATTCTCAAGAAACCAGATAGAAAATAGTGTCTGTAAACAATAGCCCATTTTACAGACCTTACAGATGGAAATGAGGTTAGGGTTGACCTTGTTATGATACAACTCTTCCTGAATTCCCGTGTAAATCATGTTGTTCCTATGCTAAATAGTATTTTTAAAGCATAATATCCATAAAAAAGGTAGGAGCTTTGTATCAAAAACTAGCCTGCACAACAGGCGCTTTATGAGCTTGCGTGTGTGGCACATTGCGCGAAATACTGCATTTGCCTTGCTTGTCTCATTAAGTGCCTGTTACGCAGGCTATATCAAAACAAGGTCAACCTCAGCCTCACGTTCACTCCAAGACTAGGATACTAATTAGTCCACAACTGCAAAACTTAATGGTCTATTTGCCAACCTTTTCAGAGGGTGGCTGTGCTTTGAATTTTTCCCTGCTACAGTTTGTTAATACGGTTAAACTTATACGGTGGTGAAGTTATATGTATTACAATTTGATGTGCCAATGAGTTTACAGTAACTACTCTGTGTGTAATATCCATGTAGAAAGATCATGAAGTTCCCAAGCCAACAAAGCAGTGAAGGTCAAATTAGCAAGTCCAAAAGCCAAGTTCAACCCAAATGCTACTTCATCACCTCCATCGTTTACAGGATGAACGACCAACATTCTACGCATCAGGAAGCGTCGTAACTTTTCCAACAAACGTCCAAGTAGGGAATTCAAAACAAATGCTACAAAGACAAGGAATATCACAAAACACACTCTCTTCACGTAATCTCCACTTTGCACGTGGTCAAAGATGTGTAAGATCCTACTGAGAAAGGAAGGATCCATTTGACGAAGGTAGGAATTTTTGAATATTGGTTCCCCAATATAGTTCAATCTTTCGTGGACAAGCATCGCAACAGTTTCGGTCCAAAGACAAGTTCATTTCGGTAATGAAGATCCAGTGGGTACCAAGATACATGCGTCAAGAGAAAGATACGCTTACAAGACAATACCTAAAGTCAAACGAGTAAAAAAGTCTGGATTTGAACAAGATTCAGGTCTTTATGACGTCGTTACCTCGAGTCTTAGCTTGATTCTTTTCTACACGCATACGACTCATCCGATCCGCCATTTTAACACTAGTGGAGCCTGCGATGTTGCCTGCGGTATTGATGATTTTCACAGTGACGTCATCATATTGCAAACTCAAAAAGCGAGGTTTTACGAATTCTTGTTCCGTGGGAGTGCCTGTAAAAATCCGGTTCGGTTGAACCCAAAATTGCAAAGCCAGCCAATAGGATTGCGTAAAATCTTTATCGATTATCTCTTCTTCCAAGCCGACCAATCAGATTGTACAAAATTTGTATCGACTTTTAATCGATTTGCTTCCTCTGAAGAACATTGAGATCAGAACGTTCCTTGCCAAATTTGTCGCGCTTGAGTCTTAGGATGGCTTGTTAACCAGCGAAATCCTTCAGGATACTGGCAAGTCACGAAAGGCGACCTAAGCCAAATTATTTCTTTCCTTCATGATTCTTTTTTTTTTTTAGGTCTAGGTTTTAGTAGCGTCTGGTTGGGGGCCGTGATTTCCCATAGATTTTTCTATTCGGAGTTCCTGGGAGTTCGCCAGTTTTTGCCGAGCACAGCTAGAGTTCAGTTTTTTTCCTTTTCTTATCGAAAACACCTTGACGATGGGAGGTTAAATCGAGTAAATTTCATCTCGTACCCTTGACGATTGGCGTTGAAATCGCGAAAATATTGTCCTCGTCGATCGACGACTCGCTTTCGGCGTGGATTGGACTTCTGGATGGGACATGGATCAGGACATGAGTAAACTTATTATACCTTGGAATCAGGGATAATCTTTGGAACTATGTTAACTTTGAGACCTTGGAAACACATTGCAATTAATTTTTAACCGTATTAAACTTTCATCTTGTATTAAAACATTGGAACTTTATCGAACTTTGTAACCCTTGGTGCGACCCCGGATAAAGCAAGCGGATGTTTTGTTTTGTTTTGTTCCATTATTAAACCTAGATAGAACGCTATTATGCTTCCGTAGACCAACGCATCCCACGTAAACGACTTTAGGCGTCTTGTTTTAACTAAGTTGAACATAAATAGAAATTAAATCTTTGTACAAGTTTCCAGCCCTAAAGCGTTAACCATTTCAAGTATTAAGAGATGGGTTTATGCACACGTATGCTAGCTCTCGAGTCAAAAGGAAGAGCTTTTATAGAAAAAGTGAACTCCAGATGTTTTTGTTGATTTCCGGCGGCCATATTGGTGGACCAAAACTGTCCACCAATATGGCGTCTCCATAGAAAGCTCTACAAAGGTGCGTGAAGCGTTTCGGCAAATAACTGAGAAACTGTGGGCTACAAAGACCTGCATTTGGACAAATTGTTTTTATATTAGTCTTTTATAACATTTCATTTTCTTGGCTTCTTCCACTGGACGGTTTCCAATTTATTTTTTTGTGCCGTGTTTATTGCGTGACAGTGAAAACGAAGAATTAAACGTTACTCCTACTCAGCCTTTGTCAGCTTTGTCCCTCTCTCATTCTCGTTTTGACACGGAAGCATGCGCATTAACTGGTGTCCAACACCGTGACGTAATAGTTTTCAAAAACGCCTGTTTTCATCCATCCACACGAGTACAGCAAAATTGCGTTTTCGAACATCTCTACTCTGGAAAGCACTTTAAAAACGATACGTTTTAGGTGACCGTTTTCACCGGATACGTGTTGAGGGCAGGCGGCCAAACCCAAGAAAAGAATCTCCGTTTTCAAACAAAAGCCGGATACGTGTGGACGGAACCTATTTGAACTACTTTTGAGTGTTTTCACAGACAATGTCTGCGAAATGAAGTACTTTTTGTGAGTTACAGTAAGAAGTTAAGTTTGGCAATGCTTATGTCCTCTTTTCTTTCGTAAACATTTTGTTGCAATAAAGGGTATTTACTTAAATAAAATGATCCGCTTAATACGTACAGCCACTCCATCAGATCGGACACTTGGTAACTCCCCGCCGTCTGGTTCGACTGTATGTGTATGTAGCGGGGACCATTTATTCAGAATAACCACGTCCGCTTTAAGGGAGGTGTCTGCTTAAGGGAAGTGCAAGGGAGGTTAAAATTGCAGTGTTTGTATGTGGCTGTGGAGAATGGCCGTGTGTGTACATTTCATGTTCCTCATATGAGGTCCAACTGCAGTTACCGCGTGTCTTACTTGTCTTTGAAGCATTTACAGTTACAGAACGCGATCGCGAGCGGTCGTCTTTTTTTCCTCAGAGCCACGCGCGGTGAGTGAAAAAGTAATATTATTCAAATTAATGGTTAAAAAGAGGAGAGATTTGGCTTCCGCTCTTGTTCCTCGCGGCTTCACCGCTCTCCCCTTACTTGTGCTCTAGATATACTATGACTGCTAGCAGTCTAGCATAGTTACACACTCTCGTGCCAAAGCGCGTGGACAGAAGGTTCCATTCAAGGCGATAAACTTCACTGTCCATTTCACTGTTTAGTTCGCAATCAACTCATTCAACGGATCAGTTAAGCCGTTCAGTCCGACATCTCTACAGAGGACTGGGGGTTTTACAAAAAGAGCATAGGAGCTTTGAGTTGGTCATGGATTTGAGAAGTCAGGGAAATTTCGGGAAAAAACGTCAGTATTTCTTAGGTATCAAGGTGTTGGTACAAACGCATTTCAGCATTTCCGTGCTATAACTTTATTTTAAAAAGTGTAAATGAGAATTCCCCAAACCTAAGTAAATATTAACGCGAACAAAAATGCAATACACCTTTTTCTCATTCCTGTGAAGATAGCCTGCGAACAGCAGACGCATTTCCGGTCGTAGCTTCCCTACCTCGGAGTTCCTCGGAGGGAAGAGACGACCGGAAATGCGTCTGCTCTTCGCAGGCTAACGTTTGTAAGGTTTTGCCAGAACACATATCAATAGATAACTCAAAATAAACATTACACTACAAGTACGAGTGCCGGCGTGGGCCGGCTGCAACGCAGGCTATACAAGTAACTTCTTATTCATTCTAGAAGAGAGATGGACTTTTCCCGTGCTCCGCTCGCTACAGAATGAATTTTGTTACAAGAGAAAAAAGGATGAGTTCAGAGAAGAATCGTATTCGCTATTGTACCGTAAACAATAGTCAACCATTACCATTACCCTAAGAAACTACTAAGAAACTACTATTAATATGTTTCTAGACCTCGGGGGACTTTCTCACGTACATTTTCTAGAAGAGTAATTCGCAATTTAGTTATTTACTTTTTCACCTATTACTGAAATCTAAGGTACTAAACTTAAAACTGTTCTCCTAACAATAATTCCCGAGAAGTACACTTTTCTATAAATATATGCAATTCTGAAACCCTAGCTATAAAAACATCGAACAGCTTAAACCGAGAGAATAATCTATCGCTTCAACTGAGAGAGAACACCACTTCATCCAAGTCCCACGTCTAAGGACATCATCACAACGAAACCAACGATTGTGAAGCAGGAAGCCAAGCGACCGTTTCCACTGCAAAGAGAAAAAGACATCAAAAGCTTGTACCTATTTCGCAGTATGCTACGAGGTCAATGGATGTAAATGTAGGTACATCGAATGTAAAGAAGAATTTAATGACCCTCTGTGCATTAACAGAAACTCTTAAAGGGACTTCATTACGCTATTTTCTGTCGGTTTAACACACTAAAAGGTGTCTTCATATCAATTAATATCATATCAATACACACTCCTGCAATGAAAAAGGCCTTGAGAATTAAGATCTCACTTTTACATGTATATAAACAAAGGAAACTGTTGTCGTAGCAGGTTACCCAAGGCTAACGCTACCTATGGTTGTAGCGTCTTTTAAACTGGCGCAGTCTGAGGCGGACAGGCCACCTGAAAGACCTCCAGCGGGAATGCTGTATAGAGTGAAGGATGGCGGCCCTTACGTAGCGGTCAAGGGGCGCGCCTTAGGTCGGGAATAGGTAAATTTATGTATCTTTTTAAAAGAGGCTTACTTCCTAATTATTTTCGTGATACGTTTACTCTTGCAAGCCAGATACATTCTCATAATACAAGACATTCCAGCCTTTTCTATATACCTCATTGTCGAACTAATTTTCGAAAATTCTCAATTCGGTTTCAAGGTCCTCGGTTTTTCAACTCGCTAAGTCGTGAAATTCAAAACAGTGAAAGCATCAGTTTGTTTGGCAAAAGACAGAAAAAATCCCTTCTTTCTTAGTCACAATATACTCTTTTTGAGCTACACACCTTTTCTTTTTCTTTTTTCTTTTTCCTTTTCTTTCTTTTCAAAAAAAATAATCCAAATTTTCATTCAGAACCCTTAGCTTGTATGGTTTAACCTATAGTTCCAGGAAGCCTATAGTTTATAGGCCCACGGCTTCTATATAAGCTTCCTTGCCATTACCACTTTAAACATTTGATTTAGTAAATAATTTAGTTAGAATAGTGTATATTATCTTAAATATATTATAAATTTCTGTATACTGTTGTTGTATTTGTGGTTAATGGCAAAAATAAATGAATGAATGAATGAATGAAGGAATGCCTGTGGGCAGAACACACACACACAATCTGAGAGCACAATGTCATAGTCATAGTAACATCACATCATTCACATGCAAAATATATACGGGCTCGTAAACCGTTGTGCCATTAAATAACTAAGGGTTTGTTGATAGGATTTTATAGCTTTTTACCTTGTTTGTGCTTCCGGTATAATATCATCAACTACCACATATACCATCGCACCAGCTGCAAATGCTAAAGCATACGGCAATACAGGCTCGGCAATCTGCAAAGAAAACCAAGAAAGAAGAAATGATAAACATGTACGGCAGCGTCTCATAGTTAACCTCAGTTGCTTGGTGCTCATTTTAATAGCTTCGAAAACAGAGAAATATGCAAGCTCAGGATGAATGGAAACCTTAAACCAGACGATGATAAAACAAACAAACATACAAACAAACAGAAAACAAAACGAAACGAAACAACACCAACAAAAAGGAAACAGTCTTTCAGATTGTTGATTGTCAGCGGAATGGACTTCTGATGGATCTATAGGGTTTAAAGCCTTGTGACTGAAAGTACTTCGATACGGAACCGTGACTTAAACTGGCGATCAGTCCACTAACTGGTGTAAACTCTGATCTCGGTTGCCGGTACGACATTAGGGACCATTAGTTTTGATTATGAGTACGGGCGTGATCGAATAAGAAGAGCATAACAGTTTGAATTTTCAGCCAGTTGTGTACCCATTCTTTCTTGTTGCTGTACAGCACTTAAAGCAGACACCAGACACATTAGGGCAAATTTGCTTTCACAATAGGGAGTTACTCAAGGTACTACAACGGCGAGGGCGAGAGCGAAGGCGAGGGCGGCAGTTGCGGTGAAAACGTCGCTTAAAGGAAGTGAATCTGCGTTCTTTCATTTTTTATGGCAACTATTCCAACACGCTTACTTTGTCAAATGTAGACGAACTCTGGGGTAAAATTGCTAAGAACTATGCAAAATTTTTGTTTTAATTTCTTTGCAGCACATAAACTTGGTTTCAAAACTCGTATTTGTAGTCCACTCTGAAATTCCCTTTTCTTGACACGTGACATGAAGGGAAGCTTTCTGAATGCGGCATTTTCAAACACTTGCTCCTTTAGGCTGAGTGTACCCATACTTATGTTATAATATTAATATTATAAACAATGATATACAGGCAGATCTTACCACTACTGCGGCAGCGCCAAACAGACCAGCTATCGGTTCTACCATTCCACTTAGTTGACCATACCTAGGATTCAAAAGACAGAAAAAAAACTAGATTATGGCTTCCAAAATGGCTGCAAAGAAGACACGTTATTCTTTTAAAATATATCTTTACACTAAAATTACTAATTTGTCAGAAAAATAAATCATGAATGCGAAAAAATAACCAAGCATACAATTTGCAAAAAATATCATATTATTTTTACTGGCAATTAAATCAAAACACACCAAAAACTCTTCCATGATGAAAATCCTGCTCCTCGGAGAGGAAGACTAACAGCTAATCCTTCTGGAAAATTCTGAATTCCTATTCCTATCGCAAGATTTCTAAGACAAACAAAGACATAAAATGTAAGTCAATTAAACAGAAATTATAGATTACTTGAGCTCTTTATGGCTTGCATGTAGTCATGTACATAGAAAGAAAGAAGTACAGAAAGAAGTAAAGTAGAAACAGGGAGATCAGTAAAACAATGGTAGGTTGTTTTCTCTGTTGTAACCATTGGGGGTCCAGAAAGGTGAAATCCCAATTCAGGATATACAGGCACACTGTGCTGCTGCTTCAGTTCATATTATGATCTCACCTCACCTCACTTACACCAATGATGGTACAATGTACATATCAGACCATGACTGACTGTGACCAGTGTATACCCAACTCTTTTTGAAGAAAGTCATGAGTTCTTGTTCTTGCCTTTTTGAGGCAGAGTTTTAAACAAGGCAGACAGGAAGACCTCACCAGCCACATTTAAAGACCTTTACGTTGCAGTTTGACCCCATGGTCTCCCCAGGGTTCAAACAAAAAATTGCAACCATTTTTCAAGGACTTTTCAAGGACTTTTCAAGGGCCACATTAGATTTTCAAGGATTGATAGTTACTTATTGCGTAAAACATTGAACACTTTACATAAATAACTTTTAAATTCTCTATGCTATGATTTATATTTTGTCTTGGACAACCAAAAAGCATCAAAAAACACTTCCCAGGCCACTACATTCCAAGTTGAAGAAAACTCAAGGACATTTCAAGGACCTGCACAGAATGGACAAAATGGAATTCAAGGACTTTTTAAGGACTTCCCCTAAAATTCAAGGACTTTTCAAGACTGTGTGAACCCTGCTCCTGCTAAGCATAATGGCACTTCTCCCACTGAGTGGTGGGTGGCCAGGTGGGTGGTAATAGTTACCAAAAACAAACAAACAAACAAAAAACGTACTTAGTTTAGATTCAATGTATTTAGCATGAAAGTACTAATTTGGGAGACTACATTGTATTTTTGCATCTCCTTCTAGTAACAGGACCTCCATTTTACATGGTCATGTGAGCCAATCGATAGACAGTGGTTTGCAGGGAAAAGGCAGAACTTTCATTTCTCAGATTTTTTAAGACCTTGAGTATTGGTGTAGCCCCTGGGATTGAATCCACATCCTCCTGCTCTGCAGCTGAGTGCTCTAACGACGAAGCTACACACTATCCTGCCAGGGTAAACTAATTTATGATGAAAGAAAGAAATATGATTTATAGCAGTTTAAAACAACAACAGCTCTTCAAAAACAAACAAACAAGCAAATATCTACTGGTACCTTGCATTTTCAAATGTTGCTGCAGTTGTTTTCCCAATGGCACCAAATCCTACTCCTACTGCTAAACCCTCTGCCAAATAAAACATTTTGGTTAATACAGACACAACCATTAGTGTAAAATTAAGTGTTACTAAGTCCTCGACAAAGGAGAAGACCCTACATACAAAGCTCTTGATCATGGAGAAATAGATTCATCTGATAAATTAAGGGCTGCTGGATTAACATAAGGGTGCATTTCTTTTTTTAAATCCAAGATCCCATCAAAAATCCGGATCATTAACATTTTTGCTAAGAAAAGAAACGATGTATCCAAAAAAAGGATTATTTTTCATTCATTCACCATAGAAAGGACAAACAATATCGACGGATCCCGGAGAAAGAACAACACGGCTGCTGACAATGAGCTTTTATTGTATAAACACGATTAGCTCAAGGATACTGCTTGCTTTAGACGAGGCCAAAGGAAGACAAGTCTTGCAATAAGATATGTACTAGAAAAGTGCTTAAAGTCTTGAAAGCCTGCGGCACAAATGGTACAAGTCCGCCAGCAGACCTGAGTCTGCATCTGGTACTTCCAAATGCCACCGAAAAACCTTGTTTGTATAATTGTGATTTTCCAACTCCGATAAAACGGATAAAATCAATTGTTTAATCCATGTCTCGGGTTCAAAAATGGTCATAAAGATGAGCAGTGTAGTCAAACAGACAATGTAAGTAATTTTTGTGTAAAAATTGTTTTGAGTTACTACTGGCAGTATTCACTCTTTTTGGATCCATAGTTAAGAAACACCTTGGATCGTGTATCCAAAGTATCTGGTTTTGGACATGATCCAAAGAATCCACCTCCGTTGTGGATCATTAATGGTTCAATAATTTTCGAATTAAAAATCAAGATTTGGATTTTAGTAAAGAAACACACCCTAATTTTTTAATAAGTGTGATACTACCTAATATTTAATTGTGATCATAATTTACCTGGAATATTGTGCACAGTGATTGCAATTATTAATAGTAATATTCTCCTCCAACTTGTCTGTTGTTCTACAAATTTCTGCTGTTCAACATCTTCTTTTCTACTCTTTGAAATATCTGTTTTCCTTCTCTGTGTTATTTGTGATGTAGTGCTGCTGTGTGAGTAGCTATTAAGTTGGATTTCGGTTTGGTGAAAGTCATCTTTTACATCCTTTTCTTTACATGCACTCCCATTCTGGAATTCCCCAGTTAATGTTTCAGCTATATTAGATGATTCTATGCCCTAGAAAAACAGCAACTGTTAAATCATAAAAAAGCTATAAATATTAATAAAAAAATGGCATACATTTTCATTTTACTGGAGTCATGGAGTCTAGCAGCCAACTGTATTCCATTATCATATTATCTAATCAAAAGTTTAAAGAATTACCAGAATAGGTAAAAGCTTGTCAGCTCCAAAGACAAATACAGCACCAAGAATAAATCCCACAGAGACTGGAATGAAGGCAAATCTTCCATTATTTCCATAACTTCCTGATGTTTCAGCCATCTCAATTGCCGGAGCTAGTAAGGACCAGTATGAAGCTGCTAACATAACCTTTACAGGAAAAGACAAGCAAAGGCAAATTAACAATATTGCCACTATTTTGAGAACGGCCAATATTCAATTTAGCATGTTAATGATTTCTTCCAATGAAGGAAGTGTGTCTATAATTGACAACCAATTAATAATTATTCTTTTTTTATAAAATTGCATGTTTGGTTAGAATTATTCTAACCAAACATACTTTTTTATGTTTAAAATTTGAGTGTAAAATATGGGTCAAACAACAGCATAAAAAGGAGGGAAAGGTAAAGCTCTTTATTTCATTTCAGTATCTTGAAACATTAGTCATTATCTCACTAACAAACCTGAGACCAACAGTGCATTCATTTTACCCTTTCCCCCTTGTTTCTCCATCAGCACCCTATTTTATGGCTATTTAAAGTTAACCTAATTTAAGGCTACATGCAAAAGAAGTTGAAACAAGGATTTGAGGTCACAAATGGGAATAAAATTCGGGACCTCTCTAATGAAAAGGCCGCACACTGACCAAATGTGTCAACCCTTGCCTCCTTTCTTGCATTCCTCTCCCTTCTTCTTTATGTTCCCATCACGTTCTTGTGCACCTAACCCCCCCCCACCCCCCCACTAATTCCTTTCCCTCAAATGCCTGACATACAAGCTAGATTACCCATGGAAAACAAGTGCCTGTACAGCTGCAAAAACTGCTAAGCTACCATGCCACTGTCTTTGTGTGATGTCAATCCTCCAATAATTTTCTATTATTCAATCACTGACCTCAATTTCTAGATCAATCAAGTACATTGGAAATCTGATCTGGAAAGCTGATCAGTGAGTTGTTAAATTTACAGCGTACAAGTGAGTCAGTAGCGTCTTAATTTAGAGACGAAAAATAAATAAAAGAAGAGCTGATAAACTAGTGGCCTGACCTATACTATAAATATACTTAAGCTCAACAAAAAAGCTTATTTTTAAAAAGTAATTAGGAGCCAAGTTTAAAATATCAGAAAAATTATGGATCAATATTTTAAATAAATAATAACAATAAACAATACAGTACAACAAAAATATCTTACCCCAGCGGCAAATCCCAGGCTGGCATCTAGAACTTTTCTCTAAAACCATTTGAAAAACGGATAAATGGTGAGCCTTATTTCATTTTGTTCACTGCCACCAAGTACAATTCAATGTTTCATTACCTGACCATGGCTGAAAACAAACACAAGAGCAGAGCCTAATGCCGTGACTCCCCAAGTAAATAAGGTACCCAGGAGGGCTTGAGTGACAGGATTATAGTTCGGTATCATAAGAAACGCTTTAAATTATAAGGATACGATATAGTTGTACAACATTTACCCGGCGAAATAAACAAGGTGAATCAAACCGGTAACATCGGACAGCGGATACTCTCGTGAGTAATTTGATGGTGACTGCTGATTGTCCACGTGGTCGTCCACGTGTCTAGTCAATGAAAGTCAACTACGGAGTTTTGAGCGAGTGGCGTGGTGGTTTTCAAAAAAAGAACCGGTGTGTGGGCATTTTACCGAGTGGAATACTAATAATGCCAAACAAGTGAAACATTTTAAACGTGTTTGTATTTTTTTGTGTTTAAATCTGACAATTTTCGTTTTAGCATTCACTTGTGCACTGGTGGTTCAGTGGTAGAATTCTCGCCTGCCACGCGGGAGGCCCGGGTTCGATTCCCGGCCAGTGCAACTAACAACTTTTTTCTTTGGTTTTTTCTTTTTTTTTCCCTTAGTATTTCAGTTTTTTCCTTCTAGGGGACTGGGGCAGTCTGAACCAAAAAAAAAAAAAAAAAGCAAACAAAAAAATCATTTATATAATACAATACAAAGAACAAACATACCGAGGACCAAATTGTTTTAAGTTCTGACAGACTATTTACGAACTTACTCATTTTAAGAAAATGGCGCGGCTTTGAAAAACCAAATTACTATTATTTTGTTTAAGATATGGCCCACTAATCGTTTTTGGAAGGCAAAATCATATAACTTTCATTTTCATAAAAACGATGTAACATGACCTCTTGGTGCAAATGGCCAATCGACCTTGTCACGGTTTTCGACGCCATCATAACGAGTAGGCAAACCCGTGAGAAATTACAGTGTTTGTATGAAAATCTAATGTCGAATAATTTCCGTAAAACGGCTTTACTAAAAAATGTATGAACTGTAAACTAAAGCTTCACTCTTAAGGATTCTACTGAAAAAAATTGAGGGCGTTACATGCCCTAGAAGACCTAGAACTTTTTTTTAAAATTTTCTATACATTTGTCTGTAAAAATTTCCCGGGAAAAATTGCAGGCAGATATATGGAAAATCTAAAGCAAGCTTCTGGAGAAATTGAAGCACAGTAACGGCCCCCAAAATTTGTTGGTAAAATCCTTTACTGTGTAGCTTTAGTTTACAGTTCATATTTTTTTCAAGGTCTTTGCACTAAGATCATAGGTCATGTGACATCATTTTTATGAGAATGAAAGTTGTATGATTTTGCCTTCAAAAAAACATTAGTGGGTCATTCCTTAAACAAAATAATAGTGATTTGATTTTTCAAACCTGTACCATTTTCTTACAATGAGTAAGTTCGTAGCTGGTCACTTGACCAAATGTAATTTTTAAAACTATGAATTCCCTTTTTCTGAACAGAAATTTTGCACTTGAACTTCAAGGAGATTGTTGAAAAAATGATGTGGTAACGTTTTAAGCACATCTGAGCGTATTTAACCATCAAACGTTTAACAAGATACAAGCAAAAAGTAGTTTTGGCTGCCATGTTGGAGGACCGCAATACAAATTATACTACTTTAGTAAAAAATCAAAGTGCCATAAAATATCTCCCTTAAATGCGTTTCCTCTCAAATTTCGGGTGCAGGATAATTTTTATGTGCTCTGTCAATTTTTGGCACCAGCAAGATTTCAAATCATTGTTCAAAGGAAGCATTAGTCACGTGACCTCTTAGTGCAAGTGGCCGGCCCCTATATAGGGTATGGCCTTTGAGAGCCCCCATCTTTAAAAAGGGAATCAATTTTTGCTCTTGTTGACGTTGGGTTCCCAGTGTGATCCCTAGAAAGAGGAACCCTTATTGCATTAGAGAAAAATTTTATGTTCATAAATGCCCATGCCAGTGTGTACCCTCGGAAATCCATAAAGCTGGCTGTGGTTATCATTGGGGGAATGCGATGTTAAGAGGGTTTGTGAATTGAGTCTCATTTTTGAGGTAAGCGCCTTAAATATGGCTGCAACAGATTTTGTTTGTCTCATCCTTAAATATGGTCAGTGAAGACCCTGGGCGGCCACACCTATCCGAAATTTGTTGGAGAAACCCCCCTCCCCTGGACTTTTGCATGCATTGCCTATTGTACAAGAAATGCGCGTAGCTGTTCCTTCAAGTAATCAATATCAATAGTCAAAAGGAAGTCCTGATATTCTGAGATGAGTAGAGTTTAGCTGGGGGGATCTGGCAAGACACATCAAAACATTGTACTGTTTTTTTTATTGAAAATTTTAAGGATGGCGGCTTTAAATGTACAACAACTAAAATAATAATAAATTATGGACCTTAAGACTAAAGTTATAATAGGAGAAATAGGTTGACTTTGTATCACCAATAGTTTTCACCTCACACACACCTTTTCTTTTTAATACCAGTTTGCAGGACAAGAGGATAAAAAGAATAATATTTTATTTGCTTTTTCTGTTTAAATAAAACCAATCAAACTGGAAAATGCAAAGAAAACAAAGGATACTCCAGTAAGAAATAAACAAAATGATCTGAGATCAACAATGGAATCATAAAGAAAAATGCTTTGATCAATATTATTCAATTGATAATTTTTATTTATACACGGTTGAGAAATTTGAAGCAATACTTAGCTTGAGGAGTCACGTCTTTTACTGATAATTTATACAGTTGAACTTCCTTCAAGCGGTCACCCTCTATTAAGGGTCCAGTGATATAAATCAGTCCCAAATTAATTGGAGAAAAGAATTGTAAATTAAACCTCTACTTAGAGGCCACCTTAATCAAGTAGCTACCGCTACCTTTCCGCTATCTCCTATTGTTGTGATCTCTGTTAAGTGGCCATCAAGTCCTTGATTCACTTAGTTTGATATAGGAAAATACAGTCCGAGGTAGTAGGTGATTACTGATCGCAGACCGGTAGTGCTGCTTGTATTATTAGTTTGTCTCAAAATAAAGTGATGTTTCTGCTGACGATTATGCTAATGACAAACCACTATTCAGTGGCCAACCTCTAGTAAGCAGCTACTTTCCTGTACCCCAGGGGTGGCCACTTAATGGAAGTTCAAATGTAGAAATATAATAAAATATCTTAGTACTTTATTGTACTTCAAATATTGAAGTTTTGAATGTTTAACACTTGAGGTATTTTAAGAACATTTTCAATATACATACTAAATTCAGCAGTGCTTTTGACTTCATTGCTACATTCACATACTCTGTTCTGTTGATTGAGCCATTTTATTAATGTTCCATACACTAGTCTCTCAACCTGACTTTGATTGTCAAAATTCAATTAAATGAATTATAAGTATGTATATTGAAATTAATAAATCTATACAGTTAAATACAACATTCATGTTTAAGACATCTTTTTTGGTTCTGTATCACTGACATGCTTCTTAGGAATAAACATAGGAAGTAAAATAAATATTACAATAAAAATATGTCCAATATAGTTAACACTTTTCCATGCTGCTATGCAAGGCTCAAGTTGAAGGAGCATAAATCCGCACCCAAGGTACTCCATGGAACGATAGTGGCAAAACCAGCTCAACCAGTCATAGTAGTAACACAGCTTTGGTGACAGGTAAGGTTTGATGGCTTTTGCCATGCGTACCTCCGCAATGACAACAAAGGGCACCATAAGGAAGGTGAGATAATATCCAGGAGCAACACCATGCCAGAATGCACTTACAAGTAGGGTGATAAACATTCTAGACAAACAAAAAACAACATCTCAAGCAAAAATTTTATTTTAAATTTCTTAAAACAAACCTTATGACATGTCTTACGAAGTTACACGTATGTGATATCAAAAGCTATAATCATGCACGCTATGTAGGGCTTAGAGAAAACAAACAACAAACAAAAACTTGTCTCACACAAGTACATGCAGCTTTAACATTTTGCAAATCAGGGCATTAATAAGTATTAATAATTAATACTCCTGAATTAATGCCCTGATTTGCAAAACAAAAAATGATGTATCATTAATCACTGTCATGAGCTGATAAACAAATTAATGCATGTACTGTGGCTGTAGCCGACAGACATAGTTGATTGCAGGATGAACCCAGAGGCATGAGTACTAATTTGTGAATGCATGAGATCATTTCTAAACCTTTTGATAATGGTTTAAATGATGACCAATGTTTGATAAATTATATACTAAAATTCTAAAATGACTCCAAGGCTTTATGGGCAGAATTATAAACTTTCAGCACAAAGGAAACGAGACCAAATGTAGAAATACGGCCGACCAGAAAGCTAGGAGCCATGTTAAAATTTTAATATACAATGCAACGAATATGGGCCATACTAATAATTCTACACCTGAACTTCTTTTGGATTATAGCCATATAAAATTAATGTAATAAACCGAAAGCAAAAAAATTTCTCCTACCTTAAATTTCTGTTCTTAAAGGGAAGTTTTCTGTGAACAAAGTTGGACATCCACCACTGAATAGTCAGGTTCCAGTTTTTCATTGTATTTGCCATGGATGGTGAAAACTCCACTTCAAAGATTTTTATGTTGTGAATTGTCTCAAAGCTAGGACGAGATGTAACAACGTGAGTGAACAGTACATGTCTACACATGAAGAGACTATTCTAAGGTATTATGTAATTTACAAAAGATTACGGTAATCTTACAATGCTCTGGAAAGCACTGCCATCCAAAGTTGGAAATGAGATGTCTGTCAGCGACCATTAGCTCTTGTAGAGAACATACATGTACATGAAATTTCTTTTGTTCCAAAAGAACCTGCCTACAATTTATATGTAACCAGGTAACTCTCGTAAGCAACCACCTCCCATAAGTGATCAGCTATCTAAACAACTTTGAACTAATAATAATAATTTTTATTCCTAGTTAAAGCCCTATTGTTGAAACCTTTCATAAATAACCACCTCTTCTAAGTGGCTGTGATCACTTTTTGGGGTGATGGTTTCATAATTTCCATTGTTTTAAACGCCTTGTAACTGACTACTTGACTCATGATCTGATCTCTATGCTCACTGCATGCACTACTCTTCTCAAAGTATCCAAAGAAATTTGAAAAACAACATGGAACTATGCATATTAATCATAACTTAGAAGTTCCCTACAACAGAAAAAATTCACAAGCAACCAGTAAATCTTTGCACTTGACGTTGTCACTTATGGGAGGTTAAATACAAGGGAATCCAAATGGGGTAAAGTCAATAGATTTGATTTATCAGGAGTTTGGAAAAAAAATTCTACTGTATCGTTATTTTCAAATTATTAGAACTGATCATGCAAACCTTCAAAAAGCATAACCACCAAAAAAGGGAAGATTCAGTGGCATCTGTTAACCTGCCCTGTGATCAGGCAGTCTTTCTTTTTTTGTTTGGGAGATGAGGGGAAAAGGCTTTTTATTCCCTTCCCCCCCCAAAAAAAAACAAACGAACAAACAAAAAAAAAACCCCTGCTTCATTGCAGGTTAGTGGCACATGGTTATCTCTTCGAAGAAGAGGCCTGGACCTTTTAATTTTCACTGTAGTTTAAAGGAGCTGTGTCACAGCTGTCTATACGTAGTTCATTGGGTTCATATTGCCAATAAGGCATATTTTTTTTGCTAAGGACCTTGACTTATAAATGACAAAATCACAGCTTTGCATCAAACAAGCATCTCTCCTAAAGCATTAAATCAAAGGTTGGAAACAACAAAAATGAACTTTGAAAATGGTTAAGCTACCAAATTTTCAAAAACCCAATTGCAATCAATTTTAATCTTAATGAAGTTTGTCCATCTGTGCCTTCTTTTGCATTTGCTATGTTATAACTACCTTCTTTTTAATGTTCTGAGTATTCCTAATTATTTTTAGGTTTCACTCAATTTGGTGGCAGTTCCTACTGTTAGAATTGTGATAAAATTTGTGACAGCTCCTTTAGGCATTTTAAAAATTCAGAGACTGCATGTACAGATACTTCTATATTATATATAAGGTACCTGTGGGTATCTCGGTGTATTTGCTCAATCTGATCTGTTTCACTCCCTGTAACTGCTCCATTTTTCTCTGGTGCTGATTTGGTTGGGCCTAGACCAGGTCTAGGATCAGTGTAAAATGGGTATGCACCCAAGCCAAGTGACATGGCAGAACTTTCTGCTAAGAGCCAGCCTATGTAGAAACGCCACCTAAATCCAATAAATGCTGGCACAAGATATAGAAGCCGGTAGACTACTCCCATTGGATGGTCTATGTACTCCTGGCTTCCAATGTGACTAATGGGAAACTGCTCATTTAAGAACAAATAGATCACACCATAAAAGAGCATGGTTTTCAGATTTCTCATGGCAGGGACGACAGTGGAGATCTCTTCTGGGTGTTCTTGATTGAGCATGTCCTTGAAAGTTTTATATCGAAAGTAGGGACCTGTTGTTAGTCCACAGTAACAGTAAGCATAGCTAAGAAACTCATAGAAAGATGGTAGCTTTGCTTTTTTGGAATCTTCCTCACCGCTCTCAGATGTGTCAAAAGCCTCAAAAGGAAATGTACAACACTGCAAAAGTAATACAATTTGAGTGAGAATAATAATATTATAACCATAACAAATCACATAATTATTATTAAATTTTATGTGTGATTAATATTTTATACATGTAAGTAAAAAATTGTATGTGCATCTATTTTTCCAGTAAGAGCCACTACTTCTTGACGCAAGCTGCGGAGGCCATAATTAAACACTCAGAGCAAGTATATGCTGGTCTGCATAGCATGTGCTTATCAAGCATCACTATTGTCTGTGGGCTATCCCTTACTTCCTTGATCGTCGCACACTCTCTACATGAGATGGTTTGTGGATGCTGATAGTTTTTCAGATGGGATTATACATTGTCCCAAGAAACATTGGAAGCAGGTACATTTTTGAGGCATTTAATTGCTTTTTTTTCTTTCCTGACTGACAGACTGAGTTGTGATCTTAAATTTGTGAAACATTTACTTTTTTTAATTACAAGTCATGTGATGCTTTTTTGAACACAGTTTACATGTAACACTGTACAACACTGTTATATTTGGCAATGGAAAACTAAATTTGCCAGTTGACAAGACTGCCTTACATGTGATAAAAACTAGACAAAAATACATTAGGGCTGCAAGGATGTACCGAGGCATTGATGAGCTGCAATTTTACAAGCAGGGAATTCATTATTTCTTAAGTACAGCTGTAAAAGGGTGCCTGAGTTTCAGTAGGTGGGGAAAGTTGGTTTGGTGTTGACTTTTCTATTTCACGTACATGTACACTGTACACTGGTGCTGGTACCTTAGTCTCAGCTCAGCTTCTAAATAAAACCCCTGCATGATTACAAGGTAACATGATAGTACAATACAAAAATGTGCTACATCTGTACGTTGAAGAAATTGTGAAATCACTTTTTTAATAGTTCTCACAAACTGGAGGTCTGCAAGGTGACTTTTAACAGAATAAATGACAAAGGAAAAGCAAACAATTTAGGCTGCCTTGCATTCTTCCTGCTTTAATTTGCTTGCAATGCTTTACTCAAGACTATGGACAGATAAGCTGGTGAACAAACATACATCATATACTTCGTGGTCACCAAAATGATTTGTTAAAACAGCGTGTGCTTTTTTACAACAGTTAGCAAAATGTTTCTAAGACCACTTTGAAACACATCAAACAGGAGAAAAATGTGAAAAAAAAGAAGTGGCACTTGCAAAATTTGGCACAATGTTAAGTTTAGTGGTAAAAAGGTTAGGTTATTGCATTGTGGCCCTTGTATTGCAATCTGTATTGTACCACTGGGAAATATTTTGTTGCACCCCTAAAGTACATATCAAGTATGTAAGAAATAAATTGAATAAATTACCCTTAGAGTAATCAGAAGCTGTATAGCATTGCTATGAGGAGGAGGCTTCTCAAATCCATAATATGCACAGGTTCGGAAAAGGAACAGGTATCCAAACACAAATGAAAATGCTGTCCACTCACAGCGCCTGAAGAATAAAAAGAAAATAGATTTCTCTACAGGTTTGTCAACAATGTTTTTGAGGCCTCATCATGCATTTATCTATGTAGGAGTTTCTCCATAAATCTGTCAAATCAATGAAATCCTAACTGATAAATTATACAGAAAAAAAACAATGGAATTATATACTAAAATGTAAATTTTATACAATAGAATGCTTGCAGACTTTCTAACAAAAACGACTTCCTGACCCACTAACTGTAAGTTTAGCACTCTGCTTAGACAATGATTTTTATGTCAGTTTGCACAAATCATCAATAAAAGGAAGTAAAATTGTATTTAGCCCAAGGTTTTAGCCAGAAGGGTGTCCAGCCGTCCTATGGATGGCCATTTTTGGAAGAAATACAAGGAAAATTCTCTGAATCTCTTTATAATTTTATTGGAAAACATGCCTTCTGGACAGCCAGTTTTCTGGCTAAAAGCCTGATTTAGCCTCAAAGTTGAGGTACACTGTACACCTGTACATGCAAAGTAGTATCAAGAGTAATTTTAAATAAAAAATGAACCATTATTAATTTTCAGGGTTTTCTTTAATTCCAATGTGTTTTTAGGGTTTCAAAGTAATACCAAAAAGTCATGACATAGCTCCGGAGACACCAGAAACAACCTCTTTAATAAAAATAACATGCAATGAAAGAAAATCGCCAATGAGAAACAACAAACAAGATAAAAGCATTCACATTATTTTTAGAATAGGCATGGTTTGAACACTGCACAGTGTACTTCAGATGATGCAAGCTCAATTCAGCCTAAGTGTACGTGAAGTACTGCTGCATTTTACAGAACATGAGCCTTAGCAACACTTAGGGCAATAACTTTGTTCTGTGGACAAAATATTGACAGAGCCTACTGTTTACATTTCATTGTGGTAAGAAGGCAAGACGAACTCTACAGCCTCTTAAACTCATCAACTGAGATGAGTGTCGGGGGAGGTGCCTTTGAGGCCGGTGCAGCCATGAACTGCAGCCATGTGCAATGCGTAAACTTGACAACCTTGAGAGTGGTGTTCACCCACACACTGTCACACTGCTAACCAGTGAAACCTCACTGCCACATACTTACCATAAAGGGGAGGGGACGGTAGGGAGCAGTAAACAATTTGAAAGCACTAGCCATGGCAGGCAATGACATGCGAATGCAATGGCCTGAACTCTGAGGAATGGGTATAAAAAGACCCATAAATACCTGCAATGGGATTAGGGCACCCTGCGAGAGACAGCTGGCCAGCATGGTCTTGAGTTAAAACTTTCATTCAGCCTCACTCAAAAAATCTAGGATCTTAGCATTTTTTGTATTAACTTTGTTAAAAAGGCAAATCTGACGCTTTCTTTATCACCAATTTAATCATATTTAACTACATTTCTTTCACACAAGTATTGTAGCACTCTCCGAAGAGGCCCAGATTTCAGTTCCCCTTGTGCACGGTTGACCTATTTAGTAAAGGTTATGATCATGTCATAGTATCAATACATGTATTTGAGATTGTACTGCAGCTTACGTGTACAGATTTCACTTTCAGTTTGAGTATGAGACAATTTAATCTTCATCCAACTTTACTTTTGCCTAATGACAACCATAGCACACCACTTTATGAGAGCAGGAAATTTTGATTACATCCAAATTTAGCAGCGTTTAACCTCAAGTCCTGAGCGAACAGCAATACCAGTTACTGATGGCGTTTACGTAAATTCTTTTCCAGACACGCTTATAGATAACGACAAAGTATGTATATTGAAATTAATAAATCTATACAGTTAAATACAACATTCATGTTTAAGACATCTTTTTTGGTTCTGTATCACTGACATGCTTCTTAGGAATAAACATAGGAAGTAAAATAAATATTACAATGAAAATATGTCCAATGTAGTAAACACTTTTCCATGCTGCTATGCAAGGCTCAAGTTGAAGAAGCATAAATCCGCACCCAAGGTACTCCATGGAACGATAATGGCAAAACCAGCTCAACCAGTCATAGTAATAACACAGCTTTGGTGACAGGTAAGGTTTGATGGCTTTTGCCATGCGTACCTCCGCAACGACAACAAAGGGCACCATAAGGAAGGTGAGATAATATCCAGGAGCAACACCATGCCAGAATGCACTTACAAGTAGGGTGATAAACATTCTTGACAAACAAAAAACAACATCTCAAGAAAAAATTTTATTTAAATTTCTTAAAAACAATATTCATTAGAAAACCATGCGACAACCTTACGACATGTCTTATGATGTTACATGTATGTGATATCAAATGTTTCTAATAACCATGCACACTATGTAGGGCTTAGAAAAAACAAACAAACAAACAAACAAACAAAGACTTGTCTCACAGAAGTACATGCAGCATTAGTGAGTATTAATTACAGTGTATCATGCCAACCAACAAAAAATGATATTATATCATTAATTATTGTCATGAGCTGATAAACAAATAAATGGATGTACTGTAGCTGTAGCCAACAGACAGTTGATTGACGGATGAACCCAGAGGCATGAGTATTAATTTGTGAATGCACGAGACCATTTTTAAACCGTTTGATAATGGTTTAACAGATCGCCCATGTTCGATAATAATTATATTAAAGTTCTAACATGACTCCACGGCTTTATGGGCAAAATTGCAAACTTTGGGCACAAAGGAAACAAGACCAAATATGGAAATATGGCTGACCAAAAAGCCTAGGAACCATATTAGAATTATAATCATAACTATAACAAAATTGTCAAGTCTGATTGGCTATCAACTGCCCTGATTTCAGCCTTAATTGGACAGTTTAATAGAACAGTACGCGTCATGCCTAAGTAATTGGACAGTACGCGCCACACGCGCGCACTTAAATGGCCTTTTTTTTTCACTGCTAACAAAACAAATTTTAGAATTTCTTGTGTTTTGATTTAAAAAATAGCCTATTATATCACAAATTTTGTTACAGTTATGATTAATTGGTAACAGAACTTCGTGTCGTCCATTAATTACTCGTGATTAAACAAATCAGACTCCCACTACCTAGTCGTCCGATTTTGTTAATCACTCGTATGATTACAGACCGAATTGGACTCCACTCAGTCCTGTTACCATTACTAATTGGCAATGTAACGGATATGGGCCATTCTAATAATTCTACACCTGAACTTCTTTTGGATTGTAGCCCTATAAAATTAATGTAATAAACAGAAAGCAAAAAAATTTCTCCTACCTTAAATTTCTGTTCTTAAAGGGAAGTTTTCTGTGAACAAAGTTGGACATCCACCACTGAATAGTCAGGTTCCAGTTTTTCATTGTATTCGCCATGGATGGTGAAAACTCCACTTCGAAGATTTTTATGTTGTGAATTGTCTCAAAGCTAGGAAGAGATGTGACAACGATCACAATCAGGTGAGTGAACAGTACATATCTACACATGAAGAGATTATTCTAAGATATTATGTTATTTACAACAGATTTCAGTAATCTTACAATGCTCTGCAAGGCACGGCCATCTAACGTTGGAATTCAGATGTCTGTCAGCGACCATTAGCTCTTGCAGAGAACATAGTATTACATGTACATGCAATATCTTTTGTTCCAAAAGAACCTGCCTACAATAATAATTTATATGTAACCAGGTACCTCTCATAAGACACCACCTCCCATAAGTGATCAGCTATCCAAACAACCTTGAAATAATAATAATTTTTATTCCTAGTTAAAGCCCTATAGTTGGAACCTTTCATAAATCACCTCCTTTTGTAAGTGACTGTGATCACTTTTTGGGGTGATGGTTTCATAATTTCCATTGTTTTAAACACCTTGTAACTGACTACTTGACTCATGATCTGATCTCTATGCTCACCGCAAGCACTACCTTCTCAAAGTATCCAAAGTAATTTGAAAAACAACATAGAACTATTGCATATTAACCATAACTTAGAAATTGCCTACAACAGAAAAAATTCACAAGCAACCAGTAAATCTTTGCATTTTACATGATCACTCATGGGAGGTTGAATACAGGGGAATCCAAGTTCTTTAGCTAACTGAGGTAAAGTAAATAGATTTGATTTATCAGGAGTTTGAAAAAAAAAAGATTCTACTGTATCCTTATTTTCAAATTATTAGAACTGATCAGGCAAACCTTCAATAAGCATAACCACCCAAAAAGTGAAGATTCAGTGGCATCTTTTTTTATTTTTTTATTTTTTATTTTTTATCTTTAATAACATTTATTCAATCGACAATCAACAATCAAAAATACTTACAAACACTACGATACTTACACTACTTACAATACAATATTTAGAATACAATAGACTAAGGTACTTACTCTGTTTACAATGTAAAGACTTACAATACTCAGTACTTACAACACTACCTACACACTATTCGCAC